TTCTGGCCTGAGTCTCTGTCCACAGCCACCACCTTGGTCACCAGGTAGCCAGGCTCTGCAGAGCGGGGTGCCAGCTCCACACCGGTGGAACCGTCGGTGGGAAGGGCAGGGTACAGAATCTCAGGTGCGTTGTCGTTCTGGTCCAGCACGAATATGGTCAGAGACACGTTACTGCTGAGTGGAGGGTCCCCGCTGTCGCTGGCTGTCACAAGTAGCTGCAGGTCTCTAACCTGTTCATAGTCAAAGGAGCGCAGAGCATACAATACACCTGTGTCAGAGTTGATAGAGACATAGGAGGAGAGAGGTGCCCCCTGCAGCTTGTCCTCAGCCAGAGAGTAAGTGACCATTGAGTTCTCGTTACTGTCAGGGTCATGGGCAGTCACAGAGAAGATAGAAGCTCCCCTAGGATTGTTTTCTGGAATGTAGGCCAAGTAGGAAGCTTGAGGGAAGGCAGGTGGGTTGTCATTGACATCTGCCACGTTCAGTGAGATGTGTGTTTCTGTAGACAATGGTGGAGTTCCGTGGTCAGTGGCAGTTACAGTGATGTTATATTCTGAGACTTCTTCCCTATCCAGAGTCCTGTGTGTCAACAACCGATGATAATTTCCAAAGGTCTTTTCAAGTGTGAATGGCAGATTATCTGGAATAGAACATGTGACAAGGCCATTCTCTCCTGAATCACTGTCATGCACATTGAAAAGTGCAATTACTGTGCCTGGGGAAGAAGTTTCTTGAATAGAGCTGGTGAGAGATGTAACTGTGACTTCTGGGGCATTGTCATTTACATCCAGAATTGTCACCAGTACCTTACTTCTGGCTCGGAGACCAGGCCCATCATGGGCTTCTACATCTATATCATAGAACCCAGAGTCCTCATAATCCAGATCCCCCAATATTGTTATGTCCCCAGTCAGAGAATTCAAGTGGAATAGCTGGGATATTTTATCTCTTACTTTCCGGAAAGAATATGTGACTTCTCCATTGGCTCCTTCATCTGTATCCGTGGCTTTTACTGTGAGTAGCCTGGAGCCCACCGGCACGTTCTCCTGCACACTCACACGGTACTCGGGCTGAGTGAATACTGGGGCATTGTCGTTGGTATCCACAAGTGTTACATGAATCTTGGCAGTGCCAGAGTGAACCCGGTCGCCTCCGTCGAAGGCGGTGAGAACGAGATGGTGAACCGCCTCTTCCTCGCGGTCCAGGGCGCGCTCCAGCACGAGCTCAGGGTACTTAATCCCATCAGCTCCTCTTTGCACATCCAGGGAGAAGTGACCATTCGAGCTGAGCTGGTAACCCTGCAGAGAGTTTATCCCTATATCCGGATCAAAAGCTTCAGGAAGAGGAAATCTTGTCCCAGGAGTTTCATTTTCAGCTACTTTTATTTCCCTTTGCTCCGCCCCAAAGTTGGGCGCGTTATCATTAACATCGATTATTTCCACTTCTACTCCAAAAATCTTCACGTTGTCCTCTAGGAGAATCTCCAGGTTTACTACACACTTTGGAGATCTGTCACAGAGCTCCTCCCGGTCTATCCTGCCCGCAGTGACCAAGCTGCCGCTTCGCAGGTTCAGAGCAAAAAGCTGCGTCCTACCTCTGGAGACGATGCGGATTCCGCGCTCCGCCAGCTCCCGGGGCTCCAGCCCCAGGTCCTTGGCGATGTTGCCCACGAAGGAGCCGTTCTCCAGCTCCTCAGGCACCGAGTAGAGGATATGTTCGGCCCGGATTTCCCACAGGGCCCCCAAGAGAACGCAGATCCCGATCAGCCGGCTGCAGTCTGGGCAATAAGTAGAAGCCGCCATTACAGCCCCGCGGCGGAATAGCTTGCTCGTGGGTGTTCCCTTGGTGGAGGCCTGAGGATCCCAAGGACCTTCAGGGTCCAAGATAATGTGCTTTCACCGTTGGATGCTGGCGCTCTCGGGGGTCCAGTTCGAAGCTTTCTAAAGCCCCAGAGCTAGTGCTTTGTAATGCAGAAATCTTGTGGTTTGTATTAATTTCCTGGTTCTTTTCTTCCCCCGATTGGTGAACAGCGACACTCAGAGTCCTAACCTGTTACTGCAGTCTATTCTTGGTAAATAAAGTATCACTTGTGTACACCATTTCTTTTCCCTATTCTATTTTTCCCCAAAATGATAAAAGTCAAACACCTGCTGTTCAATTTGCAATGAAAATCCAGAAGTGATCCAAAGATTCCTGTACAATAAGACTTATAAAATAATTTATTTTTTCAGAGACAATTTTTTTTTGGTAAGAATTTTTCTACCTCTTTTTAAGTTTTTGCATTATTTATTCTCATAGCCCAATTTCACTACTGTGTATTGCATAAGGGACATATTTATCCCTCCCAGGAACAACGTTATACTTGAAGACTGAAAGAATAAATGGATGCAAAGACAGGTCTGGGCTCCAGTCCCAACCTATGCAGAAACAAGTATTCTCACATGGGTTGACCCTTTAGAATCTGGGGCAAATTTTTAATTCCCTTGTAAGAAAATATCTACTGTTCAAAGAGTTAGCCTTACCCCTGTGCAAATGGGCTTGGCAAATATGATAATAGGTTTGGGAAAGACATTTGCTCATTAATTTTATATAAGAAGATTCTAGGCCACAGGTTATATCTGTGATGATCATGTTCACAGTGAGTCCTCACTCTGTGCGCTCTGTGCGAGAACAGCACCTTTCCTAGAGTATACACTGAAATAGTTTTTCAATGCTTAACGAATGAGTCATTAATGCAGCTGCGAAATCTAAAACAATGGGTAAATAACTGATCTTAAAAGGAAATAATAAAGGTAAGAAGACAGAAAAGTTAAACTGAAGCACTGTGAAGAGGAAATGGTGTTTCAGTGATCGTTTCCACATTAGGACACATCCAGAAGGTATTATCTTACTTTTATTTATAAGTTTACTTTAGTTTTGATTTTAGAAATAACCAGTAAAAGGAAATATTTTAGTAATTGTATATAATCATTGCATGTTTCATAGTTTTCTTATTCATGAATACTTAATTTACTAATGTGAGAAAACTTGAAATAAAGCAGCAAGTACTCAGTTCTTTAGATTATTACTCACATAATAATTAGTTTCTAGAAATTACTCATAAATTTTGACCAGACACAAAAGTCCATTAACTATTCAGAGTTTTAAAATTCTCAGACTTTGGAGAATAGATTAAAGGTATTTTTCACAATCCTCAAAAGACTCACAAATTGCTGGGGATTGGGAGGTAAAGTAAAATATTTTGAAAAAATTTGACTCGCTTCTCAGAAACCTATACTAAAAAAGTAATATAGAAAAGGCTCTGCATACAAAAAATGTTTGTTACATTCCTTACTATACTAGTGACAAAGTAGAAAGGGTATAAAAATAAATTATTTAAGAATGGTCAAGAAAATTATTCTTGACAGATTTTGAAGTGGGAAAAAAGACCCAAAGTTAGTGATTCAAATGTAAAACCTGGCAGTCTTTGCTGCACGTGATAAGGCAAAAAAGTGCTAAGAGAATTATTGGAAGGCTATATTAAAATACACATCGCAGAAAAAAGATAAACAACTAGAATGTATTTGATGAAGATGAACATTAACTTACAGAAAGAACTGTCAATACATTTACAATCTTGAAAAAAAGGAGTATTACACATCAACTAATTAAGGGCAGTTCTATTACTAAGGGTGGTGACATCCAAGAAAAAGCTATCTTTAGCAGGATTTGTTGACCATATAGAAATGCCAAGAGTGCAAATTGAGTAGTAATTAGGTAACTTCCAAGACTACTGAGCAATCAAGGGACCAATCTCCACCCATCCTATATACCTCCTCTCCCACTACCACCACTAGAACAATGAACAAGGACCGAAAATAATGATGCACTGTCGAGAATAAAATACAATAATAAAATTTAAGTAAGTCTGCAAAAACTCACGTGATGGGAAAAAGAGGAACCATAAGAGATTTGGGAGTCTTCATTACTGGCACATATACCCATAGAAGGATCTTCACCTAGGAGATCCGGAGGGGTAGCTGTTTCTTGGGTCACGTTGTGAAAATTAAATTTCACAATTTAAATCGCACAATTGAATGCGAGGCAACACACACATTGTAGGAATAGAGCAATGTTCCCTCACTGTAGTTGGGGGGAACCCTCCGTCCAGACTTGGAACTCAGACCAGGCTTAAAGCAGCTCCAGGCAGCGGGGCTGGAGGAGCGTCGAAGGTGTAGGGCGACCGCCAGAATCACTGCCAGGAGGAACAGCACTGAGATCAAGGCCAAGGTCACCACCAGCTAAAACTGCAGCTCAGCTTGTGGGTCAGTGGGCTCAGAGTGGTCACTGAGGTCCGGCAGCGCCTCCTG